ATAACATGAATACTGTTCGAATAACGCTAAGGTGGAATGTGATCACTCTCCTAGTTGTTAACATCGGAACAAACATTTCTTATTTTGTACGGCTCATGGTCGGAGACTTGAGTTGATAGGCATGATAACAAAGAAACAAGAAGAAATTCATATTATGAGTTCGTGTTAGTTTAATGGAATTTTATCAAATACCTCACACAACTATCACCAAAGGGTTTCCAACCCTCCATTCGTTGTGAGGTGTAATTGCTTCCCATACTAACAAGCGGTGTGCAGTCCCCACCCCCATGCGTCATGGCCGAAGATTATCTGAATTTTCATTGTAACGTATGTACAAAGAGTTCTGGCACAAAATTCGTTGGCTTTAAATTTAACAAACACAAATTAATATCAACTTGCCTTTGTAAACAAAAGTTTGTTTACTTACTTTACTGTCAGTTGACATCATTTATTGAATTTAAAATTTCCGTTTTAAGATGTTAATTAGGAATAACAAAAAGTATCTGCAAGTTGGTTGGTTCAAAATTGATAACCTTTCATGTCCTACATGTTTTTCTCTTGAACATTATCTACTTGGCCTTGAAATTGCCTTTTGATGTTAGTTGATGTTGATCTTAGTGACCATTTTACTACACTGCTTTCAAATTTTCCGTGTTAAATCGTCACATTGTTTTTCAACCTGCGGACTTATGACTTTGGTTTGCATTGGTAATTAGCCACCTACAAAACTCCTAACTTACAAGAAGTTCCCCAGTGTGCAAAATAATATTTAATTTTTATAGAAGTAGTATCATTATCTCCATACTGCAATACCTTTTATTCTTACTGCCATATTTTCTAAAATGAATACTGAGACATTTCTCTCAAAAGACTATAGGAATACCATCAACGGCAATGAGCAGAACCTTCTATAAAGATATAAAACAAGTCCGGAGACAATAGAATCAATAATTGACTATCATTATTGCAAATTGAAAAGGCGTAGACAGAAGTCTTGGTTGCTGGTAATAGGAAAATAATAGCGAGACAGTAAAGAGGATAAAAATACTCCAGGAAAGTTGTGGCGATTCTTTTTAACGTCTTTAAATAATATGAAGGTCGTATGTCACTGTTCGTAGTAGAATTCTGAATCATTTTTATTTGATTGTTTCATGGTGTGAATAGAGGTGACTAAAAAAAAGTGTTGTAAATTATTTTGTCAAAAAATGAATTATTTGTCCATTTTACTGTGTATCTTGTGCAACCGTGACTTGTACGGCTCTGAAATTGTATGTCTAAATTCCAATTTTATAGTAAATTGAGCTGATGATTACTTTTATCTTATCGCATTTTCTCTTCGAAAAATCATTGATTTTCTTGAAAACTCATGTTGAAGCAAATTGAATTTGCAAGAGAAGCAAAGATTTTCTGAACAGAGAAAGTGAAAAACGTAATCCTCCGATCACTTCTTTCATCAAAATGGCATATTCACATACAACTTTGCAGCAGTACTCCTGTTTGTTAACAAAATACGTAAAAAATGCATTTTTGAACAAAAAAAGGAACTGATAACATCGTTTTTCGGTCATCTCAATGCACACTATGAAGCATTCATACGAAAAGTACTAAGAATACTTCTCCATACAGGCTGCTAAAGAAAGACAGGCAACGTTATGCTGATGTGGCATATTTTCAAGCTCATCGCTTTGCATTTTCATACATGATAGTATCATTGTTGAACCCATTTTCCCTGATAGTCTCCCTGGCGTCTCCCTAATGGCTATTTTAATTGGGTACTTTTTAGGTGGAATACGTTGATCAATGTCTGAAGATACCCAATCAAAATAGGCATTGAAAAAGAGATTGAAGATCTTAACGTTATCTATGAGGCAGTAGCAGAACTAAACACTTAAGGCATTTTTAAAATGTGTTTTAAAATTTTTTTGTGTATTCTGATACTGTCTCATACACTCCGGAATGCTGGAACACAGTATATGGTTGGCTATCTCCAAGAAAAGTAGGTTACTCACTCACTTACACTAAGTTGAGCAGCAATGATGCATGTCATAGAAGGTACAATGCCACTGTAAGTTAAAGTCACGGTATTTGGTGTATTCGTGTGACAATTTTTAAAGTCAAGATGGTTCTTACCTTCAGCGTTGTTCACACTTAATTCTCCGTATGCTCAAGGTCACATCTTTCCACAAGTATTTCCATGGCTACAAAAATCTAGTGGACCAAAGTTAAGATATTGAGCGTATGGACTTAGAATAACATACCTCAGAAGATACAAGGTCAATGTGTATTGAGTAGACAAACTTGGTGTGATAGGTCTTCAAGAAAATCAAACGTTCGGTACTTATACTCAAGATTGTACACACTTCATTTTACGTAAGCTCAAGGTCACAAGTGTTATTCAAGGTCGGTTTATCTTGCTGAGGATGAAAATTTAGCAAACTCAAACCTAGGTCAGTTGTTTCAAATAGTATTTTCTAAGAATAACATTTCTTGTCAGTGGCAATAATCGAGTGAAAGAAGGTCAGGCACTCTGTACGGCATATTTCCAAGGCCAACACCACTGTGTTCTTACGTATAGGGTTGTATGCAGTAAAGCTGGGTAGCCCTAAAGTCACATGTCTCAGAAGATACAAGGTGAATGTAAACTAAATTCACGGTGTATTGAGTATACAAACTTGGTGTGATAGTTTTTCAAGATCAACAACGTTCTGTACTTATGTTCAAGGTTGTACGCACCTAACTTTCCGTACCATCAAGGTCACAAGTATTTTTCAAGGTCGGTTTTTCTTGTTAAGAGGAAGATTGAGTAAACCCAAGCCAAGATGTTCACTGGATGTACTCAATGCGATCTTTAAGATTAAGACCATTCTGTCCCCATATTCAGCCACTGGCGTTCACACGGGAGGGGGGTAAAGGAGGTAATTACCCTCCCCCCCCCAGACAACTCGAGCAGTCTTTAAAAAGGTGGTATAAACTAAATGTCTTATGAAAAAATCTGTAACTTTAAGAAAGGATAGTGGCAACACTGCCAACCCGCTTATTGCGCATGTGACTAGCGACCAGTCTCCTACCAACAGCAAGGGTGTGCGCTTCTTCCTGTTGGAACAAGTATAGTCTAGTCTTTTATGGTCTAGTCTAGTGTCTAAATTCTATATCAGTCCGGAGTCCGCAACAAAATTTGGCAAAGAAGTAAACAAGCGGAGTTTTGTTGCTTGGCACGGGTATCACGTATCTTGAAAAGTGACATTACGCCGATTTTTTTTGACATTATGCTGTTTTTCTTGACTTTATGTAGGTTATTCTACAAGATGTTGACTTAGCACTTAGTTGTACGTGTTGCCTAATCTTCATGAGGCTTGTTATCAATCTTTGGCTTTGATGTGATGTAAAATCTACTTCTGAGATGTCCTTACTGGAGGTCTAAGCTGTAAGTTGTATGTGTTGATGATAATTACATTGGGTTCTTCTCTCAAACACACTTAGTTGAGATTCAAAGCTAGAAATGAGTTGCGCATCCACTTTTCCTTATCCATTCTGGAAATTACATATACAAAGATGCTGAATTTCAAAAATGAGAGAGATAAGAAATAATTATATTCACTGTACACTGTCGAATTACAAGCCATATAGATGCTAACAGTAATAATTAAACACAACGCGGGCGCGGTGATGATTTCCCATAATTCTCTTCAGTTTTTTGTAATTTATAACTTTGAACATAACCTCTCTTCAGAAAGCACAGCATATAAATAACCCGTCATATTCGGCGTATTCAGTAATGATTTTCTCTCTCAGCAAATATCACTGATTTTATACACATGCAGACCAATAGACATAATCATCCAGATGCGATCTTGTTATTCAACCAACTACATACCCGAATAACTCTGCCTCACAAAACGATGCAAGCAATAATGCGTAGCTTAGTTGAGTGACTCCTCTATAGATGGACGTTCACAACGATCCTAGTGAGCAAACGTTGAATGACTATTTACGCCCTAAAAACTACCTAGTCTGCAAGTTGACATCTTATAGGCCTTTTTGACGTTTTATAAGTTTTTTACATGATACCCGTCCTGGTTGGTATTAGCGCTATTTTATATGTTCTATTGATTTTTTATTTTCAACGCAGAAAATTAATTTTTGTTTGTTTTTAATTTTTATACTATAAAAGAATTGTGTCTAAAAAAATGACAGACGGAAAAATGGAAATTTAATATAATTTCAATTAAGAAGTGTTTGGTCCATACTCCAGCTATCATTATCATCTATGTCTATTTTGTCTTGGAAGTCCCTGTATATAAGCACTGCAGTGCGTTTCGTTCGTCCGAGATGGCAAATTATACATTTAGTTTTTGAAAATTGAGTGTACTAAAGATATCTTGTTTCCCAAACAGAAGAGGTTCTTTGATATGATATACTTCAATGCGTGGATACCAATAATGCAGTTTATTTTACAATATTTGTGTAACTTTTAGTGCTGGTTGATGGCTGCTGTTGTCAGGATGAGTAAAAGGAAACAGAATACCAGCGATTGGTTCTTTCTAAACAAATCAAACTGTCTCATCCGCCGGCACAAGAATTACCGGAAAAAACTGATGATAATCCTACAATTCAACCTGAGCCTTCCACTCCAAAATTTCTTGACGTTGCACCGCATGCTGAACCAAGTGTGGAACAATCGGATGCGAAACCTAAAGGATCCAATTTTGTTGATGTTGCGCCATATGTAAATTTCAGCGGCAACTTGTCTTCCCATGAAAAATATACCTTATTGAGGTGTGCAATGATCCCTAATAACTCATATATCCCTATTCCACACACTTGAAAAATAAAAAAGAAGTGAAATTTTACTTATAAAACAAACGCTTTGAGAAATTTCCTTGGCTGTCATATTCAGAGGAACTACAAGAGCTTTCCCGTAATATTGCATGGTTTTTGCAAAATTAGGATGAGTACATGAATCAACTAAATTGGGATAACTTGTTACCGTATCACTAAAGAAATTTTCGAAATTATTTAGCAGAACCGGTGACTGTGAGCCACATGGAACTCATTATATCATACAGAAGCAGTTTCAGATACTACAAAGTTTTTAAAGGTTTACAAAACTCCAGAGCATCATATAAGAAATATAATAGGTCCTGAGCGAATTAAGCAAATATCAGAAAATCGGCAAACATTTACTCGTATAATAGAATCTACAATTTTTTTAGGACGCGAAAATTTACTACTTAGAGGGCATAGATATAGGAGACAACTTTTTTATAATGATAGCACGAATGACGAGAATGTCCTAAATAATGAAGGGAACTTTAGAGAACTAATACGGTTTAGAGTCGAGAGCAGCGACAATTTATTGAAACAAACTTAGAGAACCCAAAAACGCATGCTACATACACAAGCAGTCGCATCCAAAATGAAATTATAGAATGTTGTGGCGAAGAAATCTTGGATACAGTTTTAAGTCGCGTCAAACAAAGTCAGTATTACAGTATTATATTTGACAAAACTACAGCCATTAGCCATAAATCATAAATGTCAATCGTATTACGGTATTGTTATCAAAAATATATTTACCAGGACTTCATGGGATTTGTGGGTTACTACTCAAATTTTGATGAAGATAGAATGGATCCCAAACTCACAGGTCAAATTCTTGCTCAAACAGTCAATCATTTCATAAAAACCAGTAACTTAGACTCAAAACAATTTTTTTTTTATTTTTTTTATATCGAAACAGCCGCGCAGGCAGAAGCCTAAATGCCGGAACACCGCGGCTGCTATGGTGATCCCAAAGAAATTTTGTTAATGCGATTTTTGAACTGCCTAAGGTTAGTAGAACTGAGAAAAGCTTCCTCCCGTAGATTGTTCCACAATCTAGACACCCTCGGGACAAAGGAGCGGTCGTATCGGCCAGTTCTGGATGTACGAAGTTTGACCCGGTTAGGATGGGCGAGTCAGGCGAGTCTGTCTGGCAGGCACATCGCGCGGCGGCATCATGGAAGAGAGCACTGAGGAGCAAAGCCCGTTGGTGTAGCGATAGAAAAGAGCTAGATCGCCGACGGCCCGCCGGTGCGAAAGAGTCCCGAGACTGTCTGTTAGAGAAGAGTCATCGATCAGTCGGACCGCCCTCCTCTGGACAGCATCGAGCATGGACAATGTAGTCGGGGCGGCAGCACCCCAAATGTGTGAGCAATACTTGAGGCTAGGCCTTATCTGGGCCTTGTATAGAGTGAGAAGGTCATGCGGGAAAAGTACTTCTTAGCCCTAAACAAATAGCCTAGCTTTTTCCCAGCAGCTGCAGCTATTGAAGAGATGTGTTCGTGCCAGATCAGGTCCTCGGTGATCTGGACTCCGACCAGCCGAAATGAATGGCTCTTTGATAGAACTCGACCGTCCATCGAAACTGTATGAGCGCTAGGACGCTTTTTGTTCGTCAAAATACAGTACTGTGTTTTGGAAGCATTGAACTGTACAAGATTGTTGCGTCCCCAAGCAGTGATAGCCTCCAGGTCTCTTGTCAGAGAAGAAGTCGTCGCTAGTCTTCTTTTTTCCAGCTCAGCGGCAGAGATCGGCTTGTCACTCTGAATTCCTGCAAGTAGAGTGCTGTCATCAGCGAAGCTGTGGATTGGGTTGATCGTGCAGGAAAGGAGGTCGTTGATATGTAAGAGAAACAGTGTTGGAGCCAAGACCGATCCCTGGGGAACACCCGCGTTGACGTTGAGGGATGAAGAGGAGAACCCGTCAATTACGACGGATATCCTGCGGCCAGAGATAAAGTCAGCCACCCATCTGCAAAGCTTTTCTGGGAGGCCGTAGGATGGAAGTTTGCTTAAGAGGGCAGCGTGCCACAGCTGATCGAACGCTTTCGTGATGTCAAGAGCAACGACATGAGCCTCACCATGAGACTGGATGAGTTTACTCCACAATTGCGTAACGTAAGCTAGGAGGTCCCCTGTGGATCGTTGGTGCCGGAAACCGTACTGCCTGTCGCTAATCAAGCTGTGACGTTCGAGGTAGTCCAGAAGCTCGCGATTTATGCACCTCTCCATCACTTTACTTATAACAGAAAGCATAGCTATAGGCCTGTAGTTGTAAGGGTCGGTTTTAGATCTTTTTTTTGGGATGGGCTGTACATGAGCAAATTTCCAGTTTTCTGGGTAGGTGCCGGATTCATAAGATATCTGGAAGAGACGCGAAAGAACTGGAGCAAGCTCCGCTGCACATCTCTTCAGTGCAATGGCAGGAATCAAGTCCGGACCAGAAGCTTTGTTGATGTCGAGCGACAAGAGCACTCGTCTTACGGTCTTATACCTGAATGTTACCTTCCGCATAGTGTGGGGAACCCTTTGAATTGACGGCACTTGGGCGTTAGTGGGGGCGTCCATGGTGGAGTTGGCAGCAAAGATCTTGGCTAGCACTTCCGCCTTGGCCTTTGAGTCGAATACAATAGTTCCATCCTGACACGTAAGTGGTGGAAGGCTACTGTGTGAGAAGTTCTTTTCAATCTGCTTGGCCAGCGTCCAGAAAGACCGACTGCCATTGCGCTGCGACATTACCCTGTGCCTAACTTTTATATCATGCTGGTTTTTGGCATTGCGAACCGCTTCGTCATATTTGTTTCTGGACTCGACGTCGGCTTGTCTGTTCTCTACAGTGGGGTTTTGTAATTAGGTTCTGTGGGCCTTGATCTTCTGCTGGCGAGCAGTGTCACACGATTTGTTGAACCAGCCGTTGGACCCTGGTTTAGGTACTTTCACTGCGTGAGGGATGTATTCCTCCATTCCGACGTGGATAATTTCGGTTATTGAAGAACAGACAGTCGACGCATCCGCGTCAGTGAAACAGACATCTCTCCAAGGAAAGCTGGAGAAGAAGTCTCTGTGCCCCTCCCAGTCGGCATGTCCGTAATGCCAAGTTTTGCGGCCTGTGCGAGTTTCTGCTGCCACAGCGGCTTCTGACCGAAACCTAACCTCCACAACACCGTGATCTGAGTTACCCAGGGGGGACAGGACAGCAGTGCTGTAAGGGGCAGGATGCGTGGTCAGAAAGAGATCCAGCAGGCTACTGGCGTGTGACGAGACGCGGGGGAAAAAGTAGAGCTCGTTACCAGCTGGGTCAGACCTTGAGTAAGAGCGAACGCTTCGACTGCACGACCTGCTGCATCGGTCTTATTTGAGCTCAACCAAAGCTCATTATGGGCATTGAAATCACCGAGAAGAACTACCTCTGAAGCGGGGTGATTGATGTTCAGGAAGTCGATCTGGACGGCGAGGTATTCGAGTAGGTCATCCCAGTTATGGTTCGAGGGAGAGCGATAAAGGCAGCAAACATGTGGGCGGCATTGGTACTGATACGTGTAACTTATTGGTAGGTGAACAAAGGGGCACTGTAATGGAATTGCAAAAATGTTTGCCAAATGCTCTAAAAAGCCCATGCGCAAATCATGCCTAGAATCTTTCGATTTCAGAAAGTAGCAGTGTCCAAGCATTAAGAAATGCTGTAGGTGTAATGAAGGAAGTAATTGCGTTCTTCACAGCATCCGCTAAAAGAAGTACAGCATTAAAAAGAAAACTAGACGGATACCAAATTCATAGTATGTGCGAAACGCTATGGACCGAGAGACTTGATTCTGTGCTCCAATTTGAGAGCAAATTCTAGAAAATTGTAGAGTACCTCTACAATATTATATCAAATTGGAAAGACCGCGAAGCTTCTTCAAAAGCGGAATCTTTGAAGACTTCCATTACTTATACCCAATTTATCGTATCACTAAAGTGTTTGTGTGATATATTAGCTTTATCAATCAACCCGAGTAAGATTTTACAATCAAAAACAATTTACAAACAATACGCTGTCAAACTCATAGGAAATATTATTTCAGTTGTACAAGAAAGACGCGCAAACTCTTGCAAACACTTCAGAATATTATTCGCATCTATAATGAATTCGCATGAAACCCTGGGTATTGAACTGACTGTGCCAAGAATAACAAGCAGACAAATGAACAGACCGAACATAGTTACGTCTGATAACGAAAATCATTACAGACTTAACCTATATGTCCCTTTGCTAGATAACATATTACAGGATTTGGTATACCAGTTCAATGAAGAATCAATGAAGAATCTTTGAATATATACAATATATTTCCTTTGCATCAGTATTTAATTCAAAAACTGAAGCTGAAGTAATGGACATATTAGGAACAATCTCTTAATATTTGCATGGACTAAATAGTAACGAAATCAAAAATTTAATAAGTACCAGATTATAAGCAGAATTTGACGTTTAGGAGGCACGTATACAAGACATTATAGACAGTGGAATGTCACTATACTTATTATGTGATGAAAACATTTTTCTTCAATTAATAGATGCCTACAACTATTGATTTCATTGCCGGTAAGTGTTGCTACATCTAAAAGACGTTTCTCCCATATAAAGAGGATAAAAACATGGCCGCGCTCCACTATGTTACAAGAGCGATTAGTGGGTTTAGCTCTTTTGTATATGCATAGGGTTATTAAAATAGACGTGAATACAATCATAGATAGGTTTGTCAGCAAAAAGGATAGGCTGCTTGATTTTGTAATATGATAACACCTGAATTTTGCCTAAGGTTGTCTCTCAAATCCATCTCCCTTCTGTCGGCCAATAAATAAAAAAGCAGATGTAGTTTTACTTACATTTAAACCACCACGGTGATCTTTTCCAAAGTATCCAATCAAGGTATGTGCTTTTATTTATTGGCCAGCAGATTGATATAAAAGTCTGTTCAAATTCTGTTCAAATCACTTTCTAAGCTAATGTAATAATTGTTTTATTTTGAGACTGTGAAATGATGTGTTTCATAGTTTATATGTTTTTGTTTTTTGAGACTGGCTAATAGAATGTGCAATGGATATTTGTTGTGTTTTACTCATGATAAGAATTTTATTTTCAATTATATTCAGTTTTATACTTTATAGAAGTCGTAACATATTTGTTATTGTTATTTTTTTCATGAAGATGTATTTTTTGTTGTTTTGCTTGACATTGTTATATAGAAAAGTCTGTGATAGATTACATTATTTTGCATTTTTGTTCTCGTAATATATGAAGATAGCTCGAGCTTGGTTTGCTTTATTTACACTTTGATTTCGTATGATTCAAAATTAAAAAAATTGGATGTATTTTCTACAAAAATTACTGTAACAAATTCATATGTCTGCATATGTCAATACTTTTAATGTTAAATCATTATCAAACTGAGAATTTACTTTCCATCTTACTCCTTCCAGACTGAAATTCTGGGAGCGCCACTGCGTTCGGCAGCTACTTGGCTTCCAGGTTATTCGTTCTGAATTGTACTGCTCAATGTAAGTGTTCTGAGGAGCAAAGCCCGTTGACGTAGCGGTAGAATATGACCGACGGTCCGTTGCGTTGGTGCGAATGGGCACCGAGACTATCCATTAAAGAACAGCCATCGAATAGCATTGAGAATGGATAATATAGTTGAGATGGCAGTATTTCAAACGTGTGAGCAGTTCTTGATGGTAGGTCTTATCTGGGCCTTGCACAGACACAAGAGATTATGTAAGCAACTAGCCTAGGCTTTTTTCCAACAGCTGTCGTGATTGAAGAAATTTGTTCGTGTCAGTATAGTGTGAAGTATTTTCAGTTATCTCCTTCAAGGTCGTTTGCACTGAATTATGAGAAGACAAAATCTGCAAGGTAGACCAAACCATGGTCAAAGTTAAAAAGAGCACACTGACCTAACGATTTCTACAACTCAATACATGCTTCAAAGAGAACTTTTGAATGCAAGAAGTAGTGTTCCGAGTATGTGAAATTGAAAGCATGATCAATGTAATATCAAAGATGCAACACTTCCACAGCATAGCCTGTTTTTATGACTTAAAAAATGGATCTCGACTGGAGTAGGGATCGATCGGCAGAATCAGGAAGAAACAAAGACGGCAATGACAGAAACCATCGGGGGCTTAGGAGGAACGCCACCTCAGGGGAAGAGAAACGGCGGATAGGTACAGGCACGCCGTTATCGTCGGTCGATGCAGTGATGTGAAGTATTTTGACGGTAATTTCGTCTTTGTTATTAAATTATCTGGCAACTTTTCCCCAGGCAGCCAGCGCCAGCGCGAAGTTCACTTTATCTGCGTTTTCCGCCTGAGCGCGCGATCGTCGTTCCCGGTGCCCGAATGCCTTTGCGTTTGTATATCTTTCTCTTTCTAGCTTGCGTGGAAAGATGGGTGGCCGATGGCCAGGTGAGATAATAGAAGGCAGGTCCAAATAAAAAATATGTCTTTTGACCTTGATCACAGCTCACAAGTACTATGAATTTTGTAAAGGAACGAATTGCTCTGTAATGGCTTTCGAAAATAAAAAAAACACGCCGCTGGTAGATACTGTATCTCTATGTTCTTGGTACTGTACCAGCGATCGGTAACAGCGGCCTTAAGGGGAGGCTTTCCAAATAACTGACAACAATGTCAGAACACCGATGATTGATCAAATACGCAACATCAGGGTAAAAAATTTCATGGAGATAGGCGAGGAGATGCAGAAAGGGGGGAAAGGTATATATCAGTTTCTTGGCGTTACTATATTTATACGCTCCTAACCCCGGTTATTCGACATATGTAACCAATAGATGGATTTCCTCATAAATTTGCCATTAAGACAAAATTATATAAATCCTGGCATGACCCGCACCGAGCAGACATTGTGTTTTGATTGCATCTACCGAATAAGCCCATCGAAGATGCAAGTTGAAGCTGTCGCACCCTGCCTGCTCCCGAGGTTATGTCATTACATCTGTGATTAGATCGCCACCTTGCCAAATGGGTGGGGACTGGGGACTAGATTGAATGCTTTGATCCATTTATAACATGCTCGTAGTTAACCGTTCTAACTGGGGCTAACATGTACCTACCGAGCATATCTTGTATGAACCGAAGACGAGGTTGCGTGGGATGTACAGTGACAACATACTCGACTCCACTGTGATCCTTCGTTACAAGCGAACAGCAGAGTTATTACGTAAAAAACGAATAAAATGTCAAAACCGAGGAAACGTCAAATTACTGACTATATAGCTCCTGCAGTACAAATAGTAGCGCTGTAAGCGTCACCTATATCGTCATCTACGCTCAACGATAATGCTACAGTTCGCCAGCATGCTTTGTTGGTTGCAGAATGTCAAGACAGTCTGTAGAGTATATCTCTGAGAAGTTGTGATAAAAAGAAAACTGGTCGAGGAGTAGAGTAGCAAGATGACATCTGAACGATGGTGTGGTGATTGTGTGAATTGGTTTGTATGTGTATAAAATCAGAGATGTTTGCTACGTGGGAAAATTGTTACTGAATATGGTACCCATGAAGTGTATCCACTGGCTTTTTCTCTCTGAAGAGAGGTTACGTTCAAAGTTATATCTAAAGGTTTATTTTCAGAAAATACTAACCCCTAAAACCACATCACAGAGAAATTATAAATGACGCACACAAAGCAATTCCGCAGCGCCTCAAATCTAGGCGCTGATTTGTATTTTCTACTACAAAATAAATTTCTATATAATTTAAACGAGTGGAGACAAAAAATAACGTAAAATGTAATAAGCTTTTTACGTTTGATAAATATTTCTGTCTGAATTCATTTTTTCACTTGTTGTAAAACTCCACCAACCAGAGATTACCCTTGTCATCTCTCTCATTTTTGAAATTCAGAAGATTTTCATATGTAACGTCCAGGATAAACAAGAAAAAACTAATTTCTGGCTTTGCGTACATCTCAAGCTAGTGTATTTGAGACAAGAAACCAATGAAATTATCATTAACACAGGCTATTAACACACAAATCCTCGCTATTGACTATGCACCACAGCTATGCACCTATCCACTGCCATTTCTATCTAGCTATAGCATATAACTTGTAACAGTTGACATGTCACAAAGAAAACCTGTATAAAGTCAAAAAAACGATATAATGTCACTTTTCAAGATACGTAATAGTCCTGCAGGGCGCATACCGCCACAAGACTTTCAATTACATGGATTTCACAGCGGATGAAACGAGTTGGACAAGTCCAAACCACAAAGCGAATGATAACACTGCTTCAATCACTCGTGACAAAATGAAGAGCTCGTTTTATCCGCTGAAGCTAATTTGTTATGACTACACCACTCGCACCGGGCCGTGGAGTGCTTAGTTTAATTATTAGAACGATAGCGGACGTTGGAGAAGAGTTGAGCAAACCAGGATGGAGAGATAACAGGCGTGGGGTGCCGCTAAGGGATAAAATGGGAGGTAGACGGAAATGGCGAGGTACGGTTCGATTGCTTTTTCAGAGAATTTTCAAGCCTTTTAATATGATTACTCGTAGCATGAGTTTTTGCAAAGCTTATTTCGACAGAAAAAGGGTATTTAGAGTTCGATTTATCGACCTTCCTTGAGGTTTGATACTTCCTTGATCAGAATGGATATCAAATGGAAACAGTGAAACAGTGTCGCTTCCTTGAGAGAAGAAGAACGGGATTCTTCTTCGCTGGCTGTATCTATTTAGCATTTTGATTAAAAAATTGGGACGATTTGTTTTATTTGTGCTGAATATCAACAAGCAATGCAAAATAATAATGCATTTGACTCCTCGAATTACAGCGCAATCAAAGAGAAGTTAAAAACTGAATATAGGCAACTAGTTGCACCGAACTGCTTTGCTGGTTGCAGATTGCAGACCAAGGGTGGATTTCACCAGGATTGTCAAATCAACAAGCCGTTGTTTTTCACCTATAGGGTAGCGTTACGTCAAATATAGCGAATGAGCATTAAGATCCATTCAACAAATTTTAGCAACCAATGGCTGTGGAATATTAAAAACGAAACATTGTCAGAGTATGAGATGACAGCTTGTCATTGTAACATCACCAGCTTATTGAATATTGAGAACTTACATATAGTTCAGTCAGAATTTAAAAAAGTGTTTGATTTTTGAAGAAAATTCATGGTTTTTTACTATTGTTGATTGTTTATTCATGTTTATATTATCTTCTTCAATTGATATACAATTTTGCTGATTTAACATCACCCACCTTGTGTTTTTGCCCATAAACCTCTTGCAGATAGCCATTAAACACTACCTGAGGACAAAAATTTCTTAGATATTGCTAGTTTCCAAACATTCATTCATTCCCTTGCCGTTCATCACTACCATTACGGCACCTTAGATTGATATTCGCACAAAACCGTTCAGGATTTTTGATATCCATACACCCACAAAGTTGAATACTTTTCGTTGTTCAAACATCCACACTATATTTACAGTGATTGAGAAATACCCAAATATGTGTCGTAAAGCTCCCAGCTAACCTAAAACCTGCAAAAAAACTATAATTTGCAATAATTTTCGTTCTTTATGGTGTACACATTCTAGGTTATATAGATATTATTTGAATTCAAACAATAAACTACAGTAAAATAACAGCTCATTATCTCCTGATATTTCAAAGCTCCCCACATCGACAAGTGACGCATAATTCTGTGGGATCCGTCAACGCTTGGTCGCAGTGGAGCAAACTAGCCCAACTGCTAAAATATACTCTAGTGTGATTTATAAGACTATATACGTAATGGAATTTTTCCCTAAATCGTTGCACAACACTTGATAAAATGCAAATGAACATTTTAAAATTAACTCTGTGACGCCCCAAATGGCTCCGTCAGTACCTTTGAAAGCTTGTCGTTCTTGCCAACTGGGCTGCGGTGTTCCATTTACTATTTCAGTAAAATCTTATGAAAAAAAGATGCTCCAAATAAAATATTGACGAATATGAATGGATATCCATAGAATTTAGAATATAAATTCATATTGCAAGTTTCAGATTGTATATGCATGGACTTA